AGAACTAGAGTACGGTGCTTAAGAGGACAGATGCTGCCGACAAACTCGTGGGTCTGAATTCCCACATCGGCGCTTACTAGCCGTGACCTTGAGCGAGTCAATGAATTTTTCCGCACCTCAGTGCCTCATCTGTGGGCCAGCTGAGCTTCCTCATACACAGACGAGGGGGGACCGTGGTACGTAGCTCCTGGAATCGCTGCAAGCGTCAAGCTGCTTTATACATAAAGCTGACGTAAAACAACTTGAACTTAGGTAGGACGTTGAAAGCACAAGCAACAAAGAAAACGCAGAGAGACTGGACTGCATCAAAATTTAAAACTTCTGCGCTTCGAAGGACACCATCGAGAGCAAAATGACGCCAGAGTAGAAGGTTTTTGCAAAACACGTGTCTGGTAAGGGACTTGCATTTAGAGTACGAAAAGAACTCTTACAACTCAGTAATGAAAACACGACTCGATTTAAAAATAAAAGAGCTGAACAGACGTTTTTCAAAAGAAAACATGCAAAATGGACAATATGCACAATGAAAAGATACTCAGTATAATTAGCTATAAGGAAAACACAAATCCAAACTACGATCAATGTGATACCTCCTCGCACTCACTACAAAGGCTGTGACCAGAGACGACAGTGCGGGTGAGGATGAGAACCTGGAACTCTCAGCCGCTGCTGGGGAGAACGGAAAACAGCGCAGCCGCTTCGGGGAACGATCTGGTCGTTCCTCCAAAAGTTGGGCGTTGCGCTAGCGGGGGCCCAGCAACCCCACTTCTCAGGTACGCGTGCGAGAGAGCTGAAACGCACAGCCACTAGCACCAGCACAGAGTTCACGGCAGCACTACTCACGACAGCAAGAGCAGACGCGACCCAGAGCCCCTCGCTGGCGCTGGGGCACAGGCAGGGTCTGTCCACACGGGGGACCGCCGCTCAGCAGGAGAAAGAAGTACTGTTTCATGCTACAGCGTGGACGGACCTCGAAAACACCGAGCCACGTGCAAGGAGCCAGTCACAAAAGGCCACGTGTTGTGTGAATCCACCGACATGAAACGCCCAGAACAGGCCACCCGTCGAGATGGAGGAGTGGTTGACCAGGGCTGGGGGCAGGATGCGGGGAACAGGGAGTGACTGCTAGTGGGTACAGGGCTTCCTGTCGGGGTGACGACAGTGTCCTAATATTGATGGTGGTGGTGGATGTGCAGCTCGGAATGTGGGAAAACCACTGAGTTGCACACTTTAAATGGGTGAATTGCATTAAAGCTGTTAAAGGCACCCTGGAACAGTGCCTTCACACGGCAAGTACGAATCGCTACTTTCTGTTCTAGGGGAGGAAATCCCCTCAATATGAAAACAGGAAAGCAAATGTGAGTGGGCTGAAGTTGACCCAATGACGGTTTCACTTGAAGCTGTCGCTGAACGGGCGTGAAATGGTCAGAAGTGACGAGAAAACGGCTCGACAGCATAAAGCATGGTCTCCGACGCAGACCAAGGGCTTGGCAGCCTAGCTGCTCCAAATGGCTGGAGGAGCTCGGTTCTCAAAGCCAGCCCAGGAGCCAGCACCCAAAAACCGTCAGCTTCTTCTCCCAGCCTTCAAAGCGGCTGTGGGAAAAGCAGGCAGCAAAAAAATCTGAAACGCTTCACTTTGAATAGTAAACATCCATTAAAATTCAAAAAGAAAATGAAAGAGATGAGATTTGGTGAGAGCCTCACGTGGACGGGTTTCCTGTGGAGCTGAACGACCTTATAACCCCCGAGGGAACACTCGCTGCTCAGACTGAGACCAAGGAGAATCATCATGTCACACTCGCCTTGCTCCTGGGACCTGTGAAGTGACTCCCTAGCAACACATTTACCGCCAACACAGCTGCCAGAGTTAAAACGGCAGAGAAGAGGCTGGTGCTGGGGAAGAGAGGGGAGCTCAGGACGGAAAGGCGAGGCTGCGTCAGGGCCTGCGAGCGGAGGCCAGAAGCCACGGGAGCCGGAGCTGGGGGCAGGCGGGGATCACACCTCCCTTGGCGTGCTCTCCCTCCGCTGAGTAGAGCCCAGGGCCACGTTCTTCTCATTTGGGACAGACAATGCCCTCGGATGCCAAACACGGGTCGCTGTGTCCTTTCCTGCCCGCTTCGATCTCTATGCCAGAATTGTGACACACCCCCAGCAACGAAGCCCCAGAGACCCACCCTCACTCCTCCTCCCAGCCCTGTAGACTCGACTTCATCTCCACGCAACTTTATTTGGAAAAGTTTCAGAAATAAAAAATATTTATTCTTTTTTATCTCAACAAATGACTGGTTTTTCTGATAGCTCTAAGCTACTTGTACTTGGTATAAGCATCTAATTCTCCTGCAAGCAAAGTGGTCAAAACACTGAAATTCAGTACTTTCCACGAGATATAGCTAACCAGGTTGGACTCAGTAACTTCTGTTGGTCAAAGACCAACACATCCAACATCATTTTCATTGTTCATCAGTTTCCAGTTTGAGGGGCCTCAGCCCACCCTCGAACTGTTTTTTTCATCAGCAACTCAGGTCTCCTGGCAACAAAACAAAGCACGTGTTTTTCTTCCTCAACCCGTTCCACGAAGCCCATCAAGAAATGATCTTGAAACATCAGCCTAGGGAAAGGATTCGACATGACGTTACAAGAAGAAAAAATCTGTAAACCTGAAGAGATCTCATTTCAGAATCAAGATACACAAGGAGATACAGTCAAAGCGTGGGTAAGCAGGACTGGGACTTCTATCCCTGCAAAGGGAGGAAGTTTTTCAGGTTTTCATTATTTACCCTTTGTCATTGTTTCTGATTAAGCCAGGAAATAATAGAGCTCATCGTAAAATAATTAGGCACTGCAATAAAAGGTTTTTGCTGTATTAATTACAGAAGGTATTAAGAGGAAAAAGGAAAACCCACCTCTGTAAAAAAAAAAAAAAAGCAAAATGTCTTGCCCTGATAGGAACACATGTACAAAATGCAGCAGGAAATTCAAATTCGTGTTAAGAGAAGCATAAACCATAGAATCACAGCAAAGTCATTACTATGAATACATTCAGAATCAACTGGACACACATGCTCAGTGCAGTCAAAGAAGTTTAAAGGCACACTTCACAAATGGTTCACGCAGCCATGCTGGAGGGGGAACGTCCCTCTTCGACAGACGACAGAAATCAGTCAGTGCCCCATCCAACAAGGACCAAGCAGTGATCAGGTTTTGAACAGTTCTGATTTAGTGTGACTTAAATCAGAATGTTCCAAAGATCGCAACCCAGAAATTTTAACCATTCATTCACACCACCACGAAGCAAGCACTTAAAATACAACCAGAAGAAACTAAGCACATAGACCATGTACCTGGATCAATGAGGACTTCTTGTGCCCCTGGAAAAAAGAAGAGAGTGTGGTCTTTTATTTGGAAAACAAAACTACTTGCAAAGGTAACGACTAAATCATCTTTCATAATTCGCATAGCCTTGAAAAATCTGACACACTTCTATCTGCTCAGAGAAGCAATTCAGTGTAACAGTACATTACAAGTTCAGTGCCTTTTTGCTGCTTTTGAGGAAAAAAAGAAAAACTACTGTCACCCACACCCTGCACGGATTGCAAAGTCTCCTGGCCTCTTT